AATGACTCTGGTAAGCTACGAAGCCACACCGCTTGATGGATTGTTCGGAGCATTACGGCTACCGTAGTCAGGGGCCTCGCGGAGGAATACGTACTGTACTTCAACATACCGGTAATATTACGGCGTGTTTATTAGGACCCCAAAATGGCACCTGTTAAGAGAAACATGCTTTGTTTCAAATTGTTAAATGCAGCTGCGTGGGAGCATTGGATGACAGAAGGCGAACACACATTCACCAAGACAGGAAAGCAACGCCGGGCGAGTTACGCCACCAACTGCCAATGGATCGTGGATGCCTGGGCTAAGGTATCGGTCTCAAGTATCGTCCGAGCTTTCACGAAGGGCGGAATCATCACTAAACAGCTAACTAACAGCAACGAGACTGACTCGGATAACGACGAGAGAGATCCGGGCATGCTTGATGCTGAAATCGCCCGACTGTTTACCTCAGACACTGAGGATGAAGAATTTGATGGAGTTGTAGAAGAGCAACGGACTGAAAAAGTGAGAGTATTGTTTTGTATTTTACGTTACAACTGAACAATGTTGAGAGTGATTGTGAATGAGTTGAATAAAGGTTGACTTATCTGACGGTTTTGTTTCGCTGAATGCGCCTTACGTATGAAAGTAGACCCATTCATTGTTATTGCGCTTTATAATCCGGTGCGCTTTATAGTCCGGAAAATACGGTAATCTCGGGCAGATTTATTGAGCATTTTGCAGAACCAGCCGCGGCTCTTCTGGAGACACTGCATGTTGCACTCGCTTCTTATTTCTGCAGCGAAGCCCCGCAGCCTTCATTATGTTTTTATCGGAAAAGTCTCCCTTACACAATATGCTGCTTTCTTTACCGGCATACAAACGGTTTTCTGCAACATTTCATTTTGTGCTGGAAATCTAATGTTTGGGAATCTAAAATGTTTTTGTACTGACTTGATAATGTAGAAGTCATAAAAATAAAAAAAGAGTCTATAGCAAAGTTTGTACAACAACAAAAAAGAAAACAGGGTGCCTAAAACTTTTGCACAGTCCTGTATATCCTGGAGATAAAGAAGTAAACCTATTCCACTTCCTGTGAATGCGCAGCCCCATTTACATATTAGCATACAAGTGAGAATGTGCCGTGAAAAGCTTAGGAGTGTTGGTTGAGTGCAACCATATGGCTCCATCATCTCCGCTACATGTTAATGTTGGCCATAATAAACCTCCAGCAGTCTGTAAATATTTAAACCGTGCACCAGTGTGTAAATGAATAAATCAAGAAGAATCGCAAACAAAACACGGCTTAAGCAGGCATAACGAGTTACAGACGCTTATTCTCGTTGTGAAACCCGGAACCATGTGCAACGACGTATGCAGCATTTAAAAAGCAGACTAGTGTTTCGATTCAACACTGCACCACAACCTAGAGGGAAACAAATACTTCGAGGGCATTATTAGCCGAGGATGGTGTGCAGCGTGACCTTGACATGGCCCTTTATTTGAACCATGTCCTAGATTTATTATTTATAAGACAAGTCCAAAAACAATATGCGTGTGAGACAGGAAGTGAATATGATGCTTTGCTTTTTTTTTTTTAAATGTCAAGTTGAACCAAGGGGAAGTTGGTATAAGATGATTCGAGGAGTTAGCCAGTGAAGAAATCTCAACGAAACTTCAACTCGTATAGATGTACAGATACTGTACATGCCCACAATCCTGGATGTATTCCTGGTTCATGCTCATGGAGGTGGAAACATTATGCTTTGGGGGTGTTTTTCTGCTAAGGGGACAGGATAACTTCACCGCATCAAAGGGACGATGGACGGGGCCATGTACCGTCAAATCTTGGGTGAGAACCTCCTTCCATCAGCCAGGGAAATGAAAATTAAAGTCATTACCAAGTACTAAGTCATGTTTTGCAGAGGGGTCAAATACTTATTTCCCTCATTAAAATGGAAATCAATTTATAAAATTTTTAACATGCGTTTTTCTGGATTTTCTTGTTGTTATTCTGTCTCTCACTGTTCAAATAAACCTACCATTAAAATGATAGACTGATCATTTCTTTGTCAGTGGGCAAACGTACAAAATCAGCGAGGGATCAAATACTTTTTTCCACTCACTGTACATCATCAATAAAGATTGGTGAGAATGTTCCAGAAGCAGCCATACAAGCCCAAGCCATGACACTACCTCCACCATGTTTCACAGATGAGCTCGTATGTTTTGAACCATGAGCCACAATGACTTGCTTTTCTCCCATAGACAGCTCTTTGGATTTCATGAGGGTTTATCCTTTTTTTTCCCCCTGTAGGCTTCACAGGTGAACAAATGTAGGCTTCACAGGTGAAACTGACGGCTAAAACCAAGAGTATTATTTTATTATTAAAACACTCAATCGAACAGGGCACACCTGGGTAACAAGAAACATCTGTCAGTCACATGTTCCAGTGTTTTCCTCGTCTACAGATTGGATGGTCCTGTACAAAAATGTGTTATGTCCTATGTTGTTTAACACGTCTACATACCAGGAAAAAAAAAAAAAAAAAAAAAGAAACTGAAATTCTACACTCTCTTCTCATATTCATCTATCGATCTCAAACCCAAAGGTCTTCAGTCTACAGCAAAAACAAATGAACTGCCCTTGCCTTTCCAGTATTTTCAGAGGGGACTGTATGTGATGCCATTTTCCGGCAGTTACTGAATAACATGCTTTAGGACAAATAACTGAATATTTAACGGAGATTTTAAAGGGATAATACAGTATGTAGCCGGGATTGTTTATTATGGAATACCTAAAAAACAAAACAAAACAAAAAAAACACACGATGGAGTGTAATGTAAGTCGGTTTGACCTATTTTCTGTTCATTCATTTCATCACGATCTCTGCAGGTAAACTAAACTCACCGTTTAGGACATTGCTACCATTCTATACTGACCTGAGAGGATAAAACAACGAAAAGTGAATAACACTGTACATTTATTCACATCGCAGACGCTTTTATCCAAAGCGACTTACAAATGAGAAACATTCTATACAGTATGTAGACGGAAAAGAAAAGAAAAAAAAAACAGGTGCTGCCATCCTAAATGCCACAGGTATCATAATATTGTATCATACTACTGAGTACAGTTAACCTCCGTGTGTCGGATAAGTAGATGTTAATTTCTCTCCATCTTACAGGCCGTATTCAGAGACCGTAGTAACTCGGAGGCGAGTCGTCATCCATATAAAGCCATTAACAAGCCTTCGAATAAAAGGTCATCTTCCATGGTTTAACACCATACTCGATGTCCACAACCCTGTAAAACAGCAGCGGTTTTATGCCAGCCATAAAAGCTTCTACTGTTTTATGATCTTCTCCCCGAGCAGAATCGGCTCTCGGCTACCGGATCAGACGTCAGCTTTACTTGATTAATAGCATAAAGGAGGACTTTATTAACCACTGGGTAAGATGCTAAACAGGCAGTGTGCTGAATGGGAAACCGATTAGAACAGCAGATTATTAGGAAACGGCAGTAATTAAACATTGTTAAGCACTAATGAGACTCGGTCGCATGAGCGAACGCTGTCGGATCCGGGGAGTCGCGATCGTAACGATGATAAATAAACGCGACGCGCGCCTACCTTGCTTAGTGGATGAACAGAGGAATGAAACGACCCGTCTACACGCGCATATCTGCTAATTGTTACGCGGTGGCGTGTCGCGGTTTAATAAGCCGTCATGATTTCAATAGTATGCGGTATTTGGTTTGGTTGTTTTAGCCTGAATTCGTACCCTTGGATGGGAAGACGAGGTTTATGCAAGGTTTATGACAAGAATAGTGCAGACATCACAACAAGAGTCAAAACTGCAGAACTCACTCCAGGAAATGTTTCAAATGACGAGATCAGCTTTACATTTATGGACGATTGCGTCTGGCAGGACATTATCTCCATATGCCGACACACACACTATTATAACACATAAGGTCAGCACATTTAAACTCTCAACATTCTGGTCACTAGCGCAGATCCTTAACCACGACTGGGCCTCTACAGACAGAAAGATGGCATTACTCGTAATATGACCGAGCAGGCAGAATACAGGCGTGCATAGTGCACAAACATCTCGGAATGAATATGAGCTGGCCATTAGTGGAGGGAACGTGTCATTACAACGGATCTCATTTATTATTTACAAGCCTGGGTCTGCATCTGCCTGCTTCTCCGTCGTGAATTATTCGACGTGACCCAAGTGGTTTGCCATTCCGCTGCAAATCAAACCTAATTCTCCGTGCCGCGTGCGCTTGGACATTAAATAGCGGAATTATTATATTGACCGTTTATGTCTCAAGCGATCGCGATAAATTGATGGACGCTACTACGGAAGATGAAGGAAACGATAAGAAATCAATCAGCTGTTTAAAAACCAGGCATTAAAACTTTTAGCTGGTGCTTGGAATAAAGTGGGGAGTGATAAAGGTGTGTGACAGAGAGAGAGAGAGAGAGAGAGCACAGAATGAAAGACAGACTGAGAAGCAGTTACACGGTGCTAATAGGGCGAGGTGTGGCATGAACGCAAATATATACAAGCTGTTGTTACATGTAGCGAGTTCATACAAACACGTCAACACTACAAGTCATTACTGAGCCAGTATAAGAGAACTCCGAGAAGTACCGTCCCGAAGAACTAAGCTTACTTTCACTCTTCACTGAAGAAGTTCCTTTAAAGATCTAACATTGGGGGAGATACCATCCATCCATCCATTTTCTGTGACGCGTATCCTACACAGGGTCCTGGGGAGCCTGGAGACTATCCAAGGGGACTCTGGGCACGAGGTGGGGGACACCCTGGACGGGGTGCCAACCCATCGCAAGGCACAAGCTCTCGCACACACACCCATTCACACACTACGGACGATCTGGAAACGCCAATCAGCCTACGATGCATGTCATTGCACTGCGGGAGGAAAGCAGAGTTCCTGGAGGTGACCGCCGAAGCACAGGGAGAACATGCAAAGTCCACGCACAAAGCGTCACAGCGGGAATCGAACCCTCAACCCTGGCGGTGTGAGGCAAACAAACTAACCACTAACCCTGGGACAGATCCAGACAGTATCATGGTAAAAGCAGTCCGAGTAATTTGAAAGAAAAAAAATATATATATATATATATATATATATATATATATATATATATATATATATATATATATACATATATATCAATAAAACACACATCATATAACACATACAAGATAGTAACACACATAGCATAGCAAAAACACATTCATGTTTGGTTAAGGTGGATAACTTGACATACCAGTAAAGAGAAAATGTGATGAAAGCTGATGGATTTTATTAGTTCATTTATTTATTTATTTTTGCCATCACAGTCAGCAGCAATTACTCTATTAGCCTGGACTACCTGGAGGAAGAGTATTAGATCTCTGCTTACATGTCTTACAAATTTTACTATAAGTAAGTTTTTCAAATTCAAATTTCTTGTCTAAAAATACCAATGAGCAATTTCGGTGCTCAATTAGAGGTCGATTAGGTTTGGGTTTGGGTCCCGCCCCCCCTCCTCTTCTTATTTTTTTTCCATTTACTGAAAAGATTCAAGTTTCTCTTGAAGGCGGTCAGTGGGAGTTCATTAGACCTGGGCACTAGTCGTAACGCTCGTCTTTGTGTCTTACGGCTTTGGGTAGCGGAGGTCCAGTGCGTTACTACCATTAGTGAATCCATTTTGGTCTTCTTTTTTTTTTTAGGCAAGCATCGGGGTCTGAAATCTACCGTGGCTCGGTGGAAGGAACAAAGAAGTGGAGTACGAGGGATGAACAAGCACCTGAGTGGACTCCCTGTAAAATATCCCGATGTTGCACGACTGCATGAGTCAGGCTTGCAACACGGTCCGTGATGCGTGACGAGACGCTTGCCAGTTAAGCCGAGATACGAGTTCTCCAGTGTCTTCCGTTACAGCTTCATTCATATAAAATTGAACGAAACGTGCTGTTTGTCATTAGGGTGCCTTCACAAGACTCCGATTCTGATAGAAACAAGTATTACCGAGACTTAAAAGGGCTAGTAGAGGATTGAAGATCCTATTCAGTGCTACCGTGTCTCCATCACAAGGTCAGTTATACTCTTGAAGAAGACCCGATGCATTTTAACTGGTCTATATTGACTTCTAGGGCACTTATTGTACCGAGTGAGGACGAGTGGGAGAATTAAGGACAGAATAAAAAAAAAAAGTGAAGAGTTATGAGCACCTGCGCCGTACGTGTTGCCATTTCACATTATTTATGGTGGCGATTATTCAAGTGACCTTACCGAGCACAGGATAATGACACAAATGACGAGCCCTTCGGTCAAATTTGGACCAAAGTATAACCCTTACGTTCTGCTCACAACGAAGCCGTGGATGTTCTACTGATCCTGCTAAAATCTTTATAGCAAAATAAAGATATTCACCGAAACGGACACACAAAAGATGCTTCCCATGCTTGGGGATTCTCTCGACAGCAGGTGTGTGTAAAAAAAAAAGTTGCGATGTAAATAAGACGTGGAAGAACATTTGCATCTGTCCTTGTTATGCTCTGGTTATGATTGTGTGCAAAAATAATTGCCCCCCCCCCCGGAGATTTTATGCAGTGTGGCAGTAAAATCGCACGTATTTTAAACTTCACGTGCGACAGGAACGAGAATACTTATAACAAGAGTGTGTGTTTAGAGGGATAATAGACCAACACTCAATATGGCCATACTATCATTACTTCTTTCATTACGTTTTGTCCAATAATTTCAATCGAATGGAAAACCACTAAATCACAAATCCCAGTGATTTTTCAAGTTCTCTTCAAATATCTGACTCCTTTTCACCTCTTTTATTGGCGGTTGAGTGCTAGGAATTGGTCAGTCCTGTCCTTTTGGGCTTGGTTTTCTTGGTCACAGTGCTTTCTTTATACGATTAGCAAGAGAGTGAATGCTGGGCGTACGATCAGATAGAAGATCACATCCAATAAAACAAGAAAATTGCAAAAAGTACTGTATCTCCACCATAAGGCTTGTTGACGTGGCGCACGAGTGTATAGATGTGTGTCTGTGTGTGTGTGTGTGTGTGTGTGTGTGCGACTCACTTGGATCCTCAAGAGTGATGTTCCAGTTGCTGTGCTCTCCAGTAAGCTGATGTTATACAGCGGTTGGCTGAAAACCGGCCTGTTGTCATTCTCATTGAGCAGATCGATGAAGACCCGAGCGAAGCCCACGTGCTCTGCCACAGACTCGTTGGCGTACAGCTGGATGGAAAAATCACAATTACGGAACGCAATAAAAAAAATATAATAATAAATAATAAATTTTAAAAAAATCAAGAAACAACTCTTTAGCATCAATAATTAATACGTCTATATCGCTGATTCGGTAATGACGGCGCTTGCTCTTGTACGCCGTCATTATAACAAATGACTCCATTTACTGCGGAGCGCTGCGACTTGACCAGAAAAGGAGATACACAAGATGGAACGCTTAAGAAAACACCGCTTCGTAGTTAGCGGAGACGGGAATAAATGATGTTTCGCGGACTCGAGTCCCTGGTAGTTCGCTCATTAGCGTCGGTGTCCTGTCGCATATTCGGTTTGCAAAAGTAGATCTAAGAGGTACTCTTAGTAAATGCCACATATACTGGATATTAAAGCGGACTTTATATATTCGTATAGCTTCAAAACATATTAAATATTCAAACCTCGTCAGTGAAAACGCAGCGTTGCTGCTTAACTCCAATCAGGGAAGACTTTAAGACTCGGACGCAAATGGTGATAACTGAGGTCGAGAGAGTTTTTCTAGAAATCTCCAACAGCAAACTGCTATAAAAAAAAAAATCATCTTAGTATATACCGAGCTCAGCTTCGAGAAGAGGCATAACTCAAATCTATCTCTCTACTGAGAGCAGCGGTATGTCACTTCAAACACGAGGAACTGATGCTCGAGGCGGTGCTCCAGTCATCCCGGCTAAATAAGCGGCACAAAACGCAACACCGACTGAAATACTGCATCACTCTGGCCAAAACCTTTTATTTATTTACTAGGTTTCTTTATTTGCCCTACTATTTCAGTCGTTTGTCCTATACTACACACATATTTGGAGAACTTCTTACGTCACTTCATTCTACGTTTTACCAACGTACGGCGTCGCTCACGGCGCGCGTATGACATTGTTCCGTCTGCATCGTGACGCAGGGCTCAAGCGAAACGTTACCAAAGAGACGACAGCGCCTAGAAATGCAATCAGTGAAGGATTAAACCATCAATAAACAACTGATTACTTGCGTATAAATGGTTTATTACCAAACCTTAATTTAGCGCGTTAGCAATGTCACGCTAATGCTAACGTACTTTGTGCAATGTATTAAACAGCACTTAGCGGAGTATATAAAATATTCAGATATTAAGCACAGACGGATTTAAATGTACTTGTTTCATTGCTAAATACTTATCTACGAACCGGCTAATACATACGAACTAATACTTAGCAAAGAGTTGGGGGAATAGTTCAATCACGGAGAAATCAATGACTTGTAAGCAGCGTGGTAAATTAGTAATGTACAACCCGGTGCGAATTCTGGTGTTTATTATATACCGAGTTGCCAGTTAATTAGTTACTAGATTGGGAAGGACACGGTCTTTGGAGTCTTCAGAGTCGCGTCTCATTTCACCGCAGCTTTTCATTGTTCCGAATGCACGGGTGTTGAATAAAGCTTTGAATACTGAATCGGTAATCTATGCCTAATAAACTGGCAACTCGGTAAGTCGCTATTAACTGATAAACCAGGCACTGAACAGACATGTACACTGAAATACGTTCATGTAACCATTAGCGCTGTTTCCATTATACACTGTTGGGTATTTTAGCACATTTTTGCATTGTTTTTTTTTTCCCCCTTTTCAACAATGTGCTGAATTCGAGTGCTGAATACTGGCTGTAGATAAGTACCGCAACACATTCCAGACTGCCTTGAGGTTTCTCAGTGTCAGTCTGCTTTTTATACACTTCGGCCCTGTCCCAATGTCTCGCTGTTCCATTGAAAGATGAAGGTTTTCCGTACGTTCCATGCGACAGCTGTATCCTTGACATGTCCTCTGCACTTTTCATTTTTGCATATGACGTGTATACATATATATATCAAAACATATCGGGGGAAAAAATGTACAAAAATGCATAACATCATGTCGAGTTCTACTGTTTTTTTTTTTTTTCAGCAACAGCCATGTTAGATTTGAACGTGTAACCCAACAAAACAGCGAATTCTAGATGTAAAATCAACAATGATGTCACATGGCCATACTCACGCTTTCCTCGTGCAGACTTTTTAAAGCCAGTTTTTGTTGCCCTAAATATATATAGATTTTTAAATATATATATATATATATATATATATATAAACTCTAATATTATGTGAGCCAGATTAGGATAAGGCCCGTAAGTCTACTTACAGAAAAGCTGTAGCTTCTGATAGTCTCAAAGTCCAGGGGCACAGCCACACGCACGCGGATATCAGCTCGGCCCTGCACCGACGTCGGGGAGATGGTGAAGTGATCCGAGTTGTTCCCCATTAAGATCACCTCGAACATGCTGTTCACTCCCTACACACACACACACACACATACAGAGCGAGAGAGAGAGAGAGAGAGAGAGAGAAAGAGATGGTGATATATCTGCCTGTTTTAATATGGATGATTGCCAATTTAAAACACACACAAAAATTTGTCTGCGGTTACAAAGAAGTTATCGATGTTTACTGCAAAAGGCCCATTGTTTGGTATTTGAATTCAAACAGAACAAATACCGAGAAGAAAAAGACTTACGACGTGATTCTTTTATGATCAGCTGTTATTTTTGATGCTTATTTAAGTAGTGGAGCATCGATGGTGACCAGACACTATCAGACATTACCTCTTCATTTTGGGTCTACCCTCAGACGAGCGGAAAGCGTTTGCACCATCACCACAAGATCGTGAGTTTAGGTACCAACAAATCATACTGAATGCCTTCCAGAGCATGGAGTCCAAGAGAGCAAAATTGGCCCTGCACTCTGGGTGAAAGGGATGG